CAGGGAGATGACGGCCTCGAGATCCTCGAGGGCTGGCCGACCGAGGATGATGTTGTGGGCGCAGTCGATGTTGACGACGACGAACTCCACTTCGAGCTTGGCTCTATGGAGGCCGTCGTCGAAGATGACCGGGAGGGTTATGACCCCCTCGGAATCAATGGTATCGCCGGTGAAGCCGGCAAGAGGGGTCTTAATGGGCCGAAGGGACCCCCTCTCCAGATGCAGCTCTCTAAAGGTGCTGAGGTACATTACATTGACGGAGCTGCCCGTGTCAATGTAAGTTCGTGAATGATGGTGTTGGTGAAGGTGATGGGTTCCTCCCTCAGCCGCTTTACCGGGGGCATATGGGTGACTTCCCCCACGTAAAGCGATTGAGCCCACTTTTTCCGCTGGCTGGTGGAATCGCCCCCCGTATTGCCACCGGTGATCACGAGGATGTGGCGTTTTTTCTCCTGGTAGTGGGGGTACTCCTCCTCTTTATCCTCCAAGTTTCCGATCTCCCTCTTCTTGCCGAGGGGGATGGTGTTCGGGTTCACCCAAGCGTTCACCTTCGTGTGGTGCCCTCGGGGAGGTCCCTGATGAGAAGGTCCCTCCTGCCGAGGGCTGTGGATAAATTGGGACAGATGGCCCGCTTGTATCAATCTCTCGATGGCCGTGTTTAGCTGATGGCAGTCATCGGTTCTGTGCCCCTTATGCCGATGGAAACGACAGTAGGGGAACTGAGGGTTGATAGCGTGTACCTCCGGGGGTGCGCGAGAATCGCGCTCAACGAGGCCCCTCTCCTCGGCAAAATCAAGGATGATGCTGACGGGGTGCGTCAATGGTGTCCGGGGACGGTCCAGGAGAATGGGCTGTGCCCAAGTCTTAGGGTTGTTCTTATAACCTCCCCCGGGCTTGGCTTGGCCTTGCCGAGGGCGGTCATCAGAGGGTCCTGAAGCCTTGGGTTGATTTGGAGGAGCCCCCGGCCCCCGGTTGTTCTTGTTGTCAGTCTTTGTGGGTCGCTGATCTGGATGCTGGTGGTATTTCTCCACCTCCTCAGCCTCGGCATATCGGTCCCCCCGCTGCAGGGCCCTTATGTAGTCGCGGGGGGTTCAATGATGAGGCTTTGTCCCGAGTGGGCCTGGTTGATTTGGTGGCGAGCATCGTCGGCATGAAGGGGTGCCTTGCCTTTGTCCCGAGGGGGACGCTCCTCGTCTGCCCTCGAGACAGACCCTCCGCTTTCCTAGGGCCTTTGGAGTGCCTTTCCTCCGAGGCGGTCTTGGACCCCTCGGTGGTCTTGCCCCCCTCCGAGCCGGTTGAGGGCGGAAGTGCGGGGCCTTTCTCTGTTGTCATTGTGGCGGTCCCGGGACTGAACTTCCTGGGAGGCCGTATCTTGGACCACTACCCCTTCGTCATTCCCAATCCGAGGGATGGGGTTTCCGAAGGGGTGTGGCAGAGGGGGAAGCATGATGTTCTCCCCACCCCGGGGTTGAGCCGGAGCCAGGGTACCGAAGGCACCCGGGTTCTGAGTGAGCGTCTGGATGAAGGCGGAGAGCGCCGAATGAACGTCGATGGTGAGGACCAGAGGGCTGACTTGGTCATCGCTCCGGTTCTTCTTCTTGGCCTCGATGCCGAGGCGGGCATCGGGGGCATTCTGCTGGATCTGAAGGCGTACGTCGACATCCGCCTGTTCCAGCCCAGCGATGACACCGCCCTCGGGAGCCCTGTGAGAGGCTTCGGGGGCGTTGACGTCGCCGAGGGCCAGGTTCTTGTCTTCTACGTTTTTGGAGTTGGCACGTGTTGTTCTCACCATTTTGGTAGAGGGCTAGTGTTTGGCGAAGGGGGAGGGTTTCTTACTTGATTGTTCGACCTCTCAACGAGAGCACCAAATGATGGATAGTGTACCCGGGGGGTAGCTTATCCGAGGGGTTATTGTGGGGAATAATAAGAGAGAAGTCAGAGCAAGTAAGTATAGAGAGAGAAAGTATATTGTAAAGTGTGGAGCGTTTTCAGCGTGGTTACAAATGGGGAAATGGGGTGCTATTTATAGTAGCAATAAATGCCGAACAGGGACACGTGTCAAGCGTCCATTGGCCGAGAGGTCACCTCAACTGGTTGGCGCTGACAACCGCATGTGACCGCATTTAATGCGGCTGTTGGATGGGACGTTGTACTTGGTACGGTGACCCGGATGCGCGTGGAGGGAAGATCCTGTCGAGTGAGGTGCCTTCGGGCACACTAGTGCCGAAGGCTTTCTGTTGCCGAGGGCACACTAGTGCCGAGGGCTCTAGGTGCCGAGGGCTACTGTTTTTTGCCGTTTTCTCCCAGTTTCTTAGTTTGCTTGAAAAACCTGTTCTGTGAGAGATTTGAGCCTTCGGCGAGGGGGCCGAAGGCTCCCCAGTGTGCGCTGTGGGCTGCTAAGTGCTTGGTGCGCCGTAATTTGGGCCTGCTGTGCTTCCTGGGCCGGTTGGGCCTTTATTGGTGTAGTTGGAGTCTGTGGGCCGGGGGTTCCCGGGCCATATACTCCATCAGATTCCAAATGAAAAAAACTGAATTTCTAATCTCTTAAAGATATGAATTTCACTTGTAGATGGATTGCTCTCGTTTCGACCACAATATTATCAGAAAAAACGATTGTGCCAATCATCGATGAGAGATAGAAGACATACATGTAGTCTTCACCGTCCACCGAAAAGGGGTTACGTAACTTTCCGATTTTGCTAGATGCATAAGTTGTTGTGGTTTCACTAGTCATCAGAATGAAAGCAATCCATGTGAACCCATTTACCTCACACGAAAGTTTTTTTTGGGGGGGAGGGGGGGGGGGGGGGAGGGGGGATGACCTCAAAACAATGAGGAAGAAAATCGGGCTCATGGTTGATGAAAAGAAATTAGTAGACAATGTTTTCCTTATTTGCATTATGATTGTAATTTTGGGTAAGGTCTACCCCCCCCCCCCCCCCCCCCCCCCCGAACATCTACCCCACCGATGGGTGGTTTGCCTACCGGGTTAAAAATGACGAAGAATGTATACTTAGTCTTTTTATTATCTATACAAAACATGAGTAAAAAAGGTGGATGAAACAAATGCACTTCCAAAAAATGAATTAGAGTATGCATACCTCCCCGTTTGAACGAAAACTTGTCTCTATTCATATCAAAAGTTTCAGGATCACTACATCAATCAAAGGAAAAACAAATCTGACACCAACTAAACTGCAACAACTACGACTGTAAACCCTATGATCAGACTTAGAGACGGTCACCTCTGAAAGAGCAACACGAATCGCTAACCATGCAGCGGACTTGACGCAACCATCCATGTTCCCATAGATACAAACATATCCAATGACATAAAAAAGGCTAAATTCCCAAACAAACTGACAAACCTAACAACAAATATGATAACAAGAAACCAAATGACAAAATAATAATAACTAATATGAAAACTTTCACGGACTCTAGCACCTCGTACAACTCACGACGCTGGTTCAGGAGGAGGTCGTATCATTGGTACCACTCTAATTGATCCTCCATTGTCGATCGAAATCTGGCCTATTCGAAGCTCGTGCAACTCTCCTCGACCCATGTACTTGTCGACTAGGCTCTCCACCAGTTCCCCTTCGTGCTCGCATTCTTCCCTAAGCATCTTCACAGCCTCGCCCTCCATCCTTCACGCTACCAAAAACGTCGAAACAGGCCAAGTCGGTGATTGGATGCTTCGAAAAAGAAAAAGCCGCACGATGACGGCACACTCTCGAACCCTAAGTTAAGGGAAATTCCGCCCTAGAGCCCGAAAACTCCAGCACCGCCCCTCGGCAAAGCCGATGGCGGACGTACCTAAACTAAGCGTTACTGGATGGTAACCATAGAGGGAGAACATTACAATCTTATGAAGATACAACGTTCTTGATTCTTGAAACGTGGATTAGTTAGAATGAGTATGTATACCTCCTTAAACATTTTTCAAATAATTAAAAACATAAGTTTTTATACGAGATATATAGTGTAGCCTGAAGTTAAGTTTTTATTTGTTATCTTTTCTACTCATTTTTTTATTGATAGTAAATAAATTTAGAATGCCTTATTCTACTTTATTTTTAGACAAATGTATATACTATCTAATAAAGTATATTCATAGAAGTATATGATGTCTAAGGGGTATAATTTAGATGAATACATATTTCTTCTATAGCTAGCAAATAAAAGTAACTAATAATATAACAACAAAATATCATTGTCATACAACAAGAAAAATGTAAATGACTGTTTAAAATATCAATATATTAGTATTATAGTAAAAGACTAAAATGTACTCCCTCCGTCCCTTAAAATTTTGACAACTTTCCTTTTTTGGATGTCCCACTAACTTTGCCACTTTTCCTTTTAAGTAAAGAATTTGTGGTGCTGCTTAATTTTCTCTCCTCTACACAAACCTCAACTACACAGTTTTTACTTTATTAATCCTCGTGCTGATCAAACTTCGCAAAGTTTTAAGGAACGGAGGGAGTATTGCATTAGAGAAAATGCGACAGAAGTGGATGTAATGACTAGAGTTTGTTGCATTAAGTGTAACGCAACAGTATTTTGGGCCAAATGTCACAAATTATTTTGTTACAAAAGACCTTTAAATTCTTTTGTGATTGACGTTTAGCGGTTAGTAGATTATTAAAAGCAGATCAATGAGCCGATTTGACTATCAGAATAAACTGGCTGGTTGCAAAAAAAATACTGTGAAATGGTTTGTTATCAAAATATTGGCTGATTGTCAAAATCTGTTGATAATTTAACTGTTTGACAGTAACAATTTGTAGTAAATAGTTTATTTCAAAACGCTAACCCGAAACACTATTATTTACAACATTTCCAGTACAGCGACTCTGTCCAAAAAAAACGTTAGGGCCGAGCAATTATTTATCGAACAACATTTTCACTTATTGAAAATGCTAAAAAGTGCCAAATCATTTGTTTGTTGAAAAGCCATTTTCCAAAAACCCTAGATCAAGACTCTCCTTAGAGCGGGTAAATGGACCTCAATGAATTACTTATTTTTAATACATGAATTGAAAATTCTTAACCCATCATAATTTCACAAATATTCTAAACAAAGTTGATGAAACAATTGGCAGAGGTACAAATGAACAGATCACAACGTAGCCGAACATATATAACGTTCCCCAATGAATGTTTACTAATCACAGCGTTGTGATTACCAGATATTCTATAGAAATGTGATGCAGGGAGAGGGTTTGGACTGTTTTATTGATTCAGTTGTATATCCTTCAGTTCCTCCCTCAACAATACTTCTTGTAGTTAAGTAGCTTTCCAAACAAACACACCCCCTAGTTATTATTACATTTGGTAAGGTGCAGGAAAACTACCTTTAAGTATTACTTATTTACAAAATTAAAGAACTTGGAAGCAATACTTTTTCTTCTTTCTGGTTTGGTGGGAGATGATGATAAGCAGAAGTTCTTCAAGAAACTGACACAGGTAACATTAGAAATGAAAATTGGTATAATAGTAGCCAGATGAGCAAGTCATTTGGTGCTGCTTGGTGATGACTAAACCCTGCCACCAATGACCACATGATATCATTAACTGTGAGGAGAGGTGAGAATGACATCAAAGTCACTCAAAGTCCATTCTGCAACTTCATCTTTGTCACTAACAAAAATTTCAGTCCCGGTATCTAATGAAGTCCATATTCTTTTAGCGGGAGGGGTGCCCGGATCCTGCACGGATAACAATAATATCATCATCAATGCCAATTGTAATTTATATTCAAAGTTTCATATAATGAAGCAGATGGACACGGGCTGATTCTGGTCCGATTCCAGACCGACCGGCCCTGTTTCCTTGCAGGAACCGCAATCATTCATAATGGTTTGGTTCCAGGTTGGGTGGAACTGGCAGTTACCTATTTAAAAATGGTATTGGAACTGGTCTTACTTGGGACGAATTAGGCCGGATCTGGACAAGTTGGAACCAGTAAAACGGTTTGGCTGCAGTTAAACTAAACAGAGTCCGGTTTGGAAAGATCTTTAAAGGTCTAAAACTTGTATTGATACTTCATTTACAAATATTAAGGCTCTATTTGCTCCAATAAGGCTCTATTTAGTATTTACTCCACTCAAGTTAAGCGTTTGATTTGATCATATATCTTGCTGTATTCTATTCCGTTTTAAATCGATTTTATTTCACTGGGATTAGGCCGGATTTGGATAGGTCTTGAACTAGAACCATGCCTAAGCATACTAGTAGCTATTACCACTACCATACCTGATAGAAGTAAAGCCTGCTGGAAAGGCCACCAACATTAAGGTCCCAAGTCCTTGCATCCCCAACCCACCCGTCTCCCTGTTTGGTTGGGTACCCATACTGTCGCCAAATCGGGTGAGGCAACAGCTGAACAATTTCCTGACCCTGAGGGTTGCTGTAAGGATCACAGAGGCTGTACGGTGCCTCCAAGTGCTGAGCATTCCCCGGGGCACAGTAGTAGTGATAAGCTCCGTAAGGGAAATGAGCCGTGTCATTCCTGTGGATGAGCGTGTCATCCGGGGTGATGTGGTATGGAGGGCAGTTCTGAAGATGACCCGGGCTGCACCAAGCAGGAGTTGCGGGGTTAATGATCATCTCACTGTATCGGGTGACATCCGTGAGCACATCCCCGTCACACGGTTTCCCATTGTTCTTCCAGCAGCTGCCCATATCAATCAAGTAGAATTGGCTCTTGGGTCCTCCACCCTCCTTCACATCCAGACTCAATCTGACCTTGAAGTTGGGAGACTCAGGGAGCTGCTGATTCATTGTCATAATTAAAGGCCAAGCTAGATTGAAAATAGAAAAATACTACTCTATAACCGTTAAAGTTCTCTATGTAAAATAGGAAGTAATAAAGTTGATCTATAGTTGTTGAAGTAGTACTCTATAGTTGTTGAAGTAACATCATGAGTTTTGTTTCAAAGAAAAAGTAATATTATGAGTAACTCTTATTAACTTATCTCTTAGAATGGAAGTCCAAATCCTAACCATAGATCCTAACAATAGTTTTTCAAGGGAAAACTTATAAACAAGCCTAAAACAAACGTGTCAATACATGTTTTCTCAAATAGAAACTTTTGTTAAAAATCTTACTCATTCACATAAAAAGATTCATGTTCAAGTATTTGTCCCACACCGGAAGACTATAAAATAATTAAACACTAAGATCTTGAGCTACCCTTATCAGCTTTACCATTTAGGATGGAACCCCGAGTCTTAACATGATATCAGAGACAAGTCCGATTGTGGTTTGACCGCTTGATTAGCACCCATGATTATAGGCGGTGGCGGATGTGACATTTCTATTTTGGGTGTTCAAAATTAATTTACATTTAAATTTTTAAACAAAAGCATCGTTGTGTGCAGTAACACTACACATTTATCTTAGTCAAACAAAAAATAGCTCATAACAAAATCACCAAATTTGTCAAAATGTTGATAGAGAAGAAGCACGCTACTGCAATTTGCTAAGCTACATTTCGGTAATGCATTGTTTTCATTTTTTTGGGTGTTCAAGTGAACACTATTGAATAACATGGGATCCACCGCCGATTATGGGTAGCTTGTGGTCGGTTTGGCCCATTTACCGATATTGTTTAGCTCGGTTCGGACTAGGGATGGACCCGGGCCGGGCCCGAGCGAGCTTTTTTTCAAATGGTTGGGCCCGGAACCGGCTCGGGTTGATACCAGGTCTGGTCCTAACCGGGCCGGGCCCGGTTCAAGTTAATTTTTTTTTTGCTTTCTAACTAACCTCCGACCCCCCCCCCCCTCACCCCAAACCCCCCCCAAACACCCAGCCCTAACCAAGAAAACAAAAAAATGAAAAAACAAAAAAAAATAGCCCGGGCCGGTTCAACAAATACTGGGCCCGAGCCCGGCCCGCCTGCCCCTCCCCAACCGGGTAAAAGCCCGGACCCGGTTAGAACCAACCGGGCCGGGCCCGCACAGTGACGGGCCGGTCCGGTTCCGGGCCGGGCCGAGCCGGTTGGGTCCATCCCTAGTTCGGACCGAGGGAGCGTGTTAAAGTATTTGCCCTACACCAGAATAATATAAAACAATTAAATACTACGTAATATATTAAGATCTTGAACTACTTCTAATAGGTTGACTTTTTAAGATGAAACCTCCGATCTTAACAATTCATCATAACTACTTTCATTTTTTAGGACGGGATTAATCATATCTTCAACATACACAAGAAGGATGATCTTATTTCTTAATGATGTTATATCCGTGTTTAGGTAGTTTCTTTTCATTACTCCTTGAAAAGTAATGCACATCCAACACGTCACAGGAAAATTCCTCGTTTTTGTCTTTTATTTTCTTTATGAAAGGCATAAAAGTATAAAACTAAAGGCATAAAGCTTCAATCTTAGAATAGCAGCAAATTAAGTGGTTCACGTTGCTTGTCGTGGTGGTAACACTTTTTGCACCAAGAATCACATGAAGTCATGAACAGCCCCATCATATTATACACTTCTGCGATATACTTTCTGTGTTAAGAAAGCAATTATAACCAAGCAGTATTTATTATTTATTGCCAGCGTATACCAAAGTTCAATTAAGCTTTAAGCTTCTTTTTTTAATAACAAAGTTTTGCATCAAGTAAAGGTTTTAGCTTGATTTGATTCGATCAAGAATGTAATTATGAGAAAAATAAAACAACCTGCTTTGGTAACGACAGACATTATAAGCTGGCTGGGGACAATGTAAAACGGAATCAAGGGGATGTTAGACTTGAACCTTGGACCACCGAACCAACAAAAATACTAAATAAATAAGGATGTGGACACATTTCTTAGAAGTCTACAAGTTGTGCTAATAACCCCAATTGAGTAAGCCATGTGGGTCCACGTGAATTCAATGCCCATACATCAGCCCATGTAAGTGTCGTTCCTACTTTCTATTAAACTAGTATCTCTACCTCTGCAGTTTAGTTTTACTAACGGAAAATCACTTAGTCGATTATAACATTGGTTCAAAATGCATATTCTAATTTATTGACTATGCCTTATTTTAATACTCTCTCCGTCCCCCAATTAAGTTCCCGATTTGACTTCACACGTATTAAGAAAATAAATTTGACTTTACTGTGGAGTGCACTGTTTTGCACTGTTCACACACTGTTTGACACTGTTTTGCACTGTTTGACACTGTTTTGATGTAGATAATTTGCCAAATAAGGAAAGTAAAGAAGTGTGAACTTAATTTAGGGACTGACCAAAAAGGAAAGTGGTAACTTAATTGGGGGACGGAGGGAGTACTTATTATCTAAACATGTTTTCGGTCTATATTCTCCAATGAAAATAGCATATTTTTTTATAACTCTCAATTGCATCCAACTGAAATTAATCTATTCTTACCTAAACAAAAAAAAATGCTCAATGCCTATTTTTATCAATTCAATTTTATTCGTGGCTTACTGTTTTTTTCCAAAACTAACTTCACATTTTTATAACTTATCTATCTAAAAATGAGTGCAGTCGTTTTTTTTTAAGATATTAGCCCTTCTAGGTTTTAGAAATTTTCAGATTAGTGTTTTGATCTCTTTCTTTAAGAAAAGAGTTTAGAATATATAGCTTTGTGACATTCCAATTTTAATAATGTTTTTATTAAATATTCTTAACTTGTTTACAAAAATGTGAATTTCTTAAATATAGTGACTAGTGATTATAGTAGTAATTTTAGTACTAGTGACTTAAGCTCAATTTTTACACTTAAGTGATCATTAATTTATACTCGGAACAAATTAATTTATTAATTTGTAAATAAATTTTAGTTGACTAAAGTTTTTTTTGGATGTAAGAAAAGTTTCCCATTTTCACAAAAACAATTGGGTGGGTTCAAACTTATTCTTCTATCCGAACTACAATTGCAAAATCTGATTGCTCAAAAAAAGTACTTACAAAAACAAAGAAACAAATAAACGAACAAATTAGCAGAAATGCACACATGTACTTATCAATTCACCAAGATACAACTAAAAGTCTAAAAAAGGACGTTCTTGTCAGAGACAAGCTACTTATACAATACAACTAAGCAAGGATAGGGAGTTTTTTTTTGGCTAGACTTTGTAGTACTTAGACAAGCTACTTATACTTGTCATTTCAATACTTCATTGTTAAATGACAACATCCTTGATCAGGATTGGTTTCAAACCTGTGACCTCCTCCTTGGGAGTGTCACGGTTATGCCATCGAACCACATGGTGTTTGACAAGGATAGGGAGATATGATTACATTATTTAGCAAGATAGTTTTGGGAGGTTGAGAAATTATCTACCTTTTATGTGGATGAAAGATAAGAGGTAGGTAGAAAATGCAAGGAAAAAATGTATGCTTGGACTTGTAGACACTATACTACGTATTTGAATAATTGAATTACTCTATTCGAAAAAGCAAAATCTGAAAACTGAATCAAAATAAATGGAAGCACAATTAAACTAAATCGAATCCCAAAAACCAAAATTGAATGCAAAAAAAAAAATCGGACAACAGTTGTTTGATTCATTTTACCGAACCGGATAAACCGAACTAACTAAAAATGAACTTATATTTGTTAACAATTAATCATTAATCATAATATCATTGTTTGTCTTTGGTTTTCTAGAGCCCATTGGGTAATGTTAAAATTGGCTGAATCGGCTGATTTTGCTGAAATTTATGAAGTTCTGGCTGAAGTGGTTGTATTGGCTGATTCTACTAATTTATGAAAAATTATATTTAAAATATATTTTATTAATAAAATAAAGAAAAAATTATATGAAAAATTAGCTAAAATTGTCCTCTAGAGTAACTTCAGTCAATACAGCCAGAAAAATAATTTCAGCCTTACATTTCTTTATTATTACACAATTCAGCGTGCGAAATCAAAATTTACGCGTTTGGTAAAAATATTGACAGATAAGCCTAATAAGCCAAAAAACAGGGTTACAAAACGGGCTCCTAATGCTAGAAAATTAATATTTTGTGCTGTACGTATTACGAATTTCTTATTAAATGTCAAGTTATTCTATTCGTGATTTAGTTTAGCATACAAATTTATTTACATTTTCATTCTCTATAATAACATAACTATATTGATCTATTAATTTTTTATATATGTATTTTGTAATGTGTGCTTATTATTAGTAATTTTTGTTTTTATGTAACCTAAATGTTTATATTGACAAAAAAAATCATCTTAATTGTACCTCATAGAACGTACGGAGTATATATTTATGAACTTTTTTTGAACAAATCACAAAAAATGTGAATAAAGAATACACTTTTGTGTAGAAATTTTAAGAATTACGGACATGAAAAAAATTCTTAAATAAAAAAAGAATTAAAGTAGACAACTTTGAAAAACAAACTTGTTTAACTTTTTATAGAGCATTAGAGCGTCAATAATCTTACTCTACATGTTAGTAATAATGATTATATAGTGTTAAACAATAACAACGTCAAAACTATGAGTTGTGTAGACTGGTAAAATTTAACTTCATCAAATAGACATTTCAGTAAGTCAAAGAAACAACTTATTTACTCAAAGTGCGTGCTTGTTTATTCAATTTCATTAAGACGATATTCTTTAAACTCTATTAATACAGAACATATTTTCAAATATGATTACCCATTGTTTTGTTTTGTTTATGAAAATTGAATTCCTTCACTCCTACAAAATAAATACGAGCAGGAAGGAGTAACTTCTTGTACTATGTCTAAACACCCGTGGGCGTAGCCCCGTTAGCAAGAGAGTGCCAGAAAGGTTAGGTCCCGGGTTCGAATCCCGTCAATGCGATAAGGGTTATTATGGTAAAAATGCACCGGGCCTCCACAAGTATGAGAAAGAACCTCATCTCTGTCGGTCGGATTGGGATTATAGTCCAATTTACATTCTCCCACCGTACCGTCCGGTCGGGATCAGGGGTATGAGGGATGGTATGAGGGATCAGCGTCATCCTTTTTTTCGTACTATGTCTAAACAAAACATAATAACCTTTCGACTTTGACATTATTTTTTAGGAAATTTTCTTATTCCAGTAGTGACATTTGGTGACTTTTCTTTTTTGGAATAACCAGAGTTTGCCAGTTTCTTATTTGTCGTGGTCAAACTTGATGAAGTATATTGGAAAGTGAGAGTATTAATGAATGGTGAATTGGTGATAATGTAAAATAATAATGAGAAGGATTAAAAGATTTAAAACATAAACAAATTGCATTTTATTTAGGGGGGAGGAGGAGATGCAGGGACGGCGGCTTACGGTGTGGAGCATGCCGCGGGTGGCGTAGTGGTAGCCGCCGGAAAATCCATTGGTTGCGTCGGCTCTCAGGTATAGCATCAGCCATGGGTACGCTTTCGAGGTCCTCAGCTTGTGCCGGAACGCCCACCCTCCTTCTCCCACTTTCTTCTCCCACACCACCTCGAAGTAAGATGAACCGCCGTTGCCTCCTCCCTGCAGGTCGTAGGTGCCGTTGAAGCCGCCCACCAGTCTCGCATCGCCGCCTCCGACGACGACTATCCGGGTTCGGCTGTGGTATAAGAGGGGCTGGTTCATGCAACCCTTCCCGAAACAGGGGAAGTTGCCGCCGGAAAATGGCTGCACCTTCTTTCCGTTCTGGGGGCAGAGACCGGATTTGGAGTCGTAATTTCCGTTTTTCAGCATAATCATCCAAAACTGCCACGGCCGCCGCCTCTTACCGGACGAATCTTCAGCCGGCGCTTTCTCTTCGCAGAGCGAGCCCAGGTAGAGCTCCTTATCGGCGGCGTACAGGTCCGGGTTATTCAGAGATCCGGGTCTCAATCCGGGGAATGGCTTCCCTATTCCGAGTTTGTTGACTGCCTCCGACACGAGGTGCTCAATTTCCGGTGTCTCCGCCGGCGACTTGGGTTGAGAGAGGCGGAAGCAGTCGGCGGCGCGGGGGCTGCCCATTCCGGAGGGAGCTTCCTCGCCTACTTCATTGCAGAAGTTCCAAGCTTCGAAGGCCACTCTGAGATCGTCCCTTCTCATTCCGGGGTCCCCCACTGCTGAAATCGGAGAGGAAGAAGATGGGGCAGAACAGAGGAGGAGCATTACTGCTACTGCTTGAAGCAGCAAACATTCCATGGCGGATGAGCTAGAAAGCATATAGCTTCAACCGGCGGCAGTTATTTTTTATTTTATTTGAAGTTTGTATGAAAAGGAAAGGAGGATGAGGCGGAGAATAAAGGGAAGCGCCGGAAGCTTGTGGGGGAAATGTGCGGCGACGCCACCTCAATTCTTGTCGCGTTCACTGCCAGATCTAGCAAGCAACACCCCACTGTCATCTTATATATGCAGGCAAAAGCTTCAATGTGACTTCTCTATGTCGTGTTTGGGCCTATTTGTTCAAACTCATTTTGTTTATTTAATATTACATCCTTCCCACTCAACTTTGTCAAGTTGATATTAAGTGAGAAATTAGAATAGTAAAATTTGTGTGGTTGAGGTTTATGCAGATGATAGAGAAATGAACAGAACCACAAAAACATTGCTTTAAAAGGAAGGTAGCAAAGTTTTTTGAGATAAACAAAAAAAGAAAGTTGGCAAAGTCCAATGAAACGGAGGAGGTAGGAGTAACTAGGAGTAGGGGTGTGCAAAATTTGGTAAACCGAGATAAATAGGAGGCCCAAACTGAGAAGTGTTGCACCCCCTTGAAATGAGTCAAACCAAATCCATACTGAAATTTCGGTACGTACCAAATATCGAAATCAAATTTCGATTCGATAGTCGATACGTATAATTTTGAAAGTTCAGCATTTGATTCGATATATATATCAATATTTCGGTTTTCGCAATATACCGAATACCGAAATTTATAAAATAATAATTATTAAATACATAATATATTTATATATTTTGGTTAGAAATATTTAAATATACATACATATATATTTATATATATATATATATATATATATATATATATATATATATATATATCGTTAGATAAGAGATCAAATACAAATCATGCATAAAATACTAACCTACAAACTCAATAATATGCATCACTTTGAATTTCAATGTGCAGTAAAAATAATGTAAAGATGCAGGGTAAGATCACATACAAACTAGTCCTCTCATTCAAATCATTTTTACATTATTTGTATTGCACATTGAAGTTCAAAGTGTTTCATAATATTCAAACCATAAAATAGCAGTTTCATATTTACATTATTTGTATTGCATATTGAAATTCGAATAGTGCATCTTTACATTATTTGTACTGCATATTGAAGTTCAAAGTGTTGCATATTATTGAGTTTGTAGGTTAGTAAGTTAAGCACGGTTTGTATGTGATCTCACCCCTATTTCGTTATGTATTATATATTTATATGTAATATACGCGGTATTTATATACGTAGTATTATATATTATATATTTAAATATTTAATTATAGATAATTACATAAATATTGTTGAATGTCTATTTGGTAATTCGATTTTACCAATTATCGAACTGCTTTTTTTTTTGTTTTTACCGAACTAAATCGATTCAGTTCGCATCGGTATTTGTTATGCGAATATGCGTAACTGAAATTTTGGTTTACCGAATTTTCGGTTAGGTTTGGTATTACTGAATGAACACTGACTACGAGAGTACTAGTGCTTGCGCACGAAAACAACAACGGGACCAATAAATATTAATACTGTTTTTTAGAATTTCACATCATTTAAAAAATGCAGTACAATAAGTGAATATCAAAAAGTATAAATTCGTACAACAAATATTCAAAGACACCATCCATTAGAAATCGCTACGTAATTGTTGGGATATTAGAGTCCGGCTCAATATCCGGCCCAAAATATCCCTAAGAAGCCCATGAGTAACGGAGCCCAACAAATACAAATCGAGAAACAATAAACACCCATATAATTACTTCATGTTCAACCATATCCCGTTCGGTCACTCTCAAACAGCATGAACCTAATGCTTGGCAAAGAAGAGCGACATCCATGAAGGGTTAGCCCAAGCAATTGGCGGGAAACATGGCAAGTTGGGGGGGAGTGCATTTAATGTCGAGGGTATGGTAAGTCAAGTGGCAAGCATGTGAGGTCAAGTGGCAAAGACGTCATCCACTCAGAAACAACCACCTCATCTGCATCACATACCCACTCCTGCTATAAATACCTCCATTTATGTCATTATAAGGGGTTAGCATTTTGATACTCACTAGCAATATATCACTTCTTAGCTCTTGTATTAACAATTGGTCTGAAACTCCCATTCGACACTTCCTTTGTAATCAATATTCTTATTCTAATACAGTTGAGCAGTTGAACCATTTTGTGTGTCGATCTCATTTTCACTTCATCTCTTTCATTAACCTATCAATGGTAACCATAGGAGCTTGTTGGACCTTTGGGCCTAAGAGAATTAACCACGACAATCAAAAGAAATAATTAGTATCATTGGTAACGGATAATGAATAATTGTTAGAGTTTTGAAAAAAATACTTCAAAGAGAACTTTTAGTGGTAATGTTTAATGATTTTCTTTCCTTATCATATATTAAAATCATCAATTCATGTTTTCTAGACCCTCAATAACGCCACATATATAAAGTTTTACTTGACTGGAATGCATCTAGGTAGGAATATTTCATCTTTTTCCAGTGATAGAGCGTGATATTTATCGATTATCATAAAATAGGTGAAATTATAGGAAACTGTTTTCTTATAAGTTTAAAAGGTCATGAGAGAGAATATGAGAGATGAAATTCTCCCCATCAATAATTAGTTTGCTTATCTTGTATCTAAAAGAACTACAAATGAGAGAGAAACTCTTCCGCTCAATTTTTAATCTGGTTATCTTTATTTTATTTTATACTTATAAGCACTATGTATGAGACATAAAATTATCTAGGTGAATTATTAGCACGCTTACTTTCTTATACTTAAAATGGAGATTTAATTTCATATGATATTACTAAAACTCAATGAGTTTCCCAATCTATGACCAAACTAGTTTTTAGACTTTTGTATGACCGAAAATAAAATAAAAATCGTTTATATTTAAAGGTTGAATGATGAAAATCCCTTTATTTAAAATATGTTCATTTTGCATTAGTTTCTTCCAATTAAAATTACTGCACTTTATATTGCCGTTAATGCATGACATGAATGCATGATTTTACTGCACATCTGATAATTTCAGTGTTACTAAACAAGTTCATCATGTATTATTCCAGATTACAAAAGGTGTAAAACTTTTAAATTGTCTAACTTGTGTATTTTTAAATTATAAAACTTTACATTTCACTGAACTATCTAGTCTATTTGTATTTCATTGTTAAACTTTATATTATTTGTTATTTTAGGGTGCCTCAAGTCACCATTTGGATCCGGGGCTCCGAATTCATTATACGACCCTCACTACATATGAGAGAGAAAAATCTTCTGCTCAATTGTTAGTCTGTTTATCTTATCTTATCTTATACTTAAAAGCACTACATATGAGAAAGCAAATTCTTCCGCTCAATTATTAGTCTTTCATCTTCTTATCTTTTTATCCCGTTCAATTCTTAGTATGTTTATCTTATACTTAAAAGCACTACCTCAGAGAGAGGATATATTGCTCCGCATTTTGTTGGAGAAGAAGATGAGAAGAAGAGCAGTGTAGGCGGATGAAGCAAGAGGTAGAAGATGATGGAATGTGCTAGCTACGAAGGAGAACTACTCGATGCGGCAAAGGGGATTTGGGAGAAGGAGCTCGATGCGCAAAGGGATGGGTTACTTTTTTGGAAAATAGTTAATGAGTCATATTTTTGGAATCTAAAACAGTAGGACTCATATACATGCCATTCTTCCGATAAACATCCTAAAACAAGACAAATCAGATCAAACTTAATCAGATCGGGCAGAACTAAATCAATTTAGACTTTTAATGTAAAAATGGCACAAATAGTACTTCCCAACTTTTATCAGACAAATATATAACTAAAATTGATTTGGAAAGAGAAGTGATCTTTCACGCGGAAATAGATCTACGCCTATCTATTTTACGCAAACGTTCAGTATTCTACTCAGTTTGATCTACGTCTGTCTTCTCCGCCCACCATGGCCTTCGCTGCATGCAGCAACATCACCATCGCCATCGGTCTACACTCGCCACCGCACAACCTTCTATTCGTTTTCTTCTCTTTCTCTGTGATGACATCGGGGAGGTCGCTGATTCAAAATCTAAGGCGACAAATTTGAGCTTTACTGTCTGGTGCGTTGTGACAAAGGTGGACCAAGGGTTGGGGATGAGACGAAGAGCGGGGGTAAGGTTGGAGACGAGGGATTTAGGCGGTGGTGGTGGTAGGCGAGATCTACGTTCGGCTATGCGAGTGACAAGGTCGTAGGGCAGCGACGACGCGGCTAAATTTGTACAGTCGGGGTTGCATGTGGTGGTGCAGTGGTTGGGGATGGGGCGTGGGTTGGGAAATCGAACTGGATATGGGGTTGGCCGTTGGGGAGGGTGCTGAGTGTGGGGGTTGTGGCAGGGCAAGGGAGGGGATGGGACTGGGGGTGGGGGTGGTGCAGGAAGAGGTGTCGGGGCGGAGTCAGACACTGGGCTGGTGGTCAATGAGTTCAGAGTGCTAGGGATGGTGGTCAATGGGTTTGGGTTGCTGGGGCTCGTATTTTGCAGGGGCTGTGGCCAATGGTGGAGAGATGCAAGGGCGAGATGTCACTGTAGGGTGGCGACGAGTCACTGACAGTGGTGGCCGATGTTGGCATTGGTGGTGGTGTACAGTTTCGCTGGAAAAGGTCATCGGAATTTTTTTTGACGGGTATAGTGACATGTTTCACGATAATAGTGACATTCAAAAGTGACATAAAAATCTGGTAGTAACATATAACAGTGACATAAAAGTTTGACGGTGACATAAAAAATACATTGACATCGTGGGTTTTCCAAATATGTGACCTTCTTAGTCACATTTTGTCTTTTTAAAAATGATCACATTTTTGGAAGGAATAATTGATTGTAATAATCTCAACTATTGGCGGTCCGCTTATAATAATCCCAACTATTGATTATCTCAGAATAATCCCAACTTTAGTGACTTTCCGCCAATAATGGTCCATGACCAGATATGACCTGTTATAACAAGTGAATTTTAAATAGAAATAAAGCGTAAAAATTAAAAGTTGAATTATTTATAGGGATTACTTGTTATATCTCTTGTCATCCACTTTAGAAATTATAGGAACTTATTTATAGTCGGTCATGTCGGACCATTATTGGCGGAGGGTCACTAAAGTTGGGATTATTCTGAGATAATCGATAGTTGAGATTATTATAAGCGGACCACC